GGGTAAATATTTTGAATACCCAAGAAATAAGCCCAAGAAATTGTTCCTTATATTAAACAAGTACAATCTGCTTTGATATTTTTTTTGAAATACGAAACGGTTTCGGCATGATCCTTATGTTTAGAAGTTTGGCGGCACAATGAGATTTATATCACTCAAGTTAATTACTAGTTTGCTTTAACTTTTGAATGAACTAGACGCTCTGGGAGCGTGCAGTCGGACTAGCTGCTTGTGAAAATTGAGAAAGACAGGATATTACATGGATAAAAATATTTCTTAACTTTTTTTCCAACTCACGGTCTAATAAGAGCGTCTAGTTCAAAATATGCAAAATTTATTGAGACTTTAAATAAACTTGACCTAAAAGGTCATGTAATTAACGCGATAAGAACSYGGMTTGCTTTGACTGATAAAATCAACTACGCTCAGACAAATGTCTCGCTAAGTGATATCATGATCATATGATATCATCTAAAACGTTGAGATCACAGATACCACATTTGTAAACAAATAGTTTTTTTGTCATATAAAAGTGCGAGTAGCATATAACATTTACTAACGATATTCGTACAACTTGAGCTTCCGGTCATGTAATAACACAGCCAACCCAATAGTTAATTATTAAATTCTTAACTTCCGGTGGTCCAAACGCGACATAATACATAGATAGATAGATAGATACATAAGAAAAAAATTCGCCTATATCATATATCTATTAACCGTTGTAAATCATTTTAAATTTGGCTACTTCTGATGAGTGCCGCACAATTCTTTGTGCGGTACGAAACTATATAGTAGTAAATGATGCCAAATCTTTAGTCGTTTCATTTTTTTCTTATGTATATTTGCTCTAGTGTTTGCTATTGAGCACTCTGATGACAATTTATGTTCAATTTTTGTTCAATTCTCTTTAATATAGATAGATAGATAGATAGATAGATAGATTGATAGGCTAAAAGGTAAATTTAAAGTCGGACCGCCTTCGGCTAGTCCGACTAAAAACAACTCTTTAAAGTATCAATTATCAATCTTAACAATTATGTCTCCAAGATCAAATCCATCATAGTACACCGTACGTTAAATAAACAGATTGTAATTGCATACGAAATGCATGGATCACGGAAATCGAGCAGCGGAAAAGCACTTTAAAATCAAAGAAAGCTGTGTTCGCAAGTGGCGATCCCAAAAAGAAAAGTTTATTTTCCATCTTTTTTTCCTCAAAAACGTTCCTAAAACTCGGGGTGCTGCTTATCTACGAGAGCGGCTTATACATGGGTAAATACAGTACATTTCAGATAAGTAAAACTTTATTTATAATCAAGTATCTTTTAAATAAAAGTTTAATAATTAAGCAACTTCTCGAAGTAGGGCATAATTTCTGTTCTTAGTGCCCTTGATCAGGGGCGGGGATGTAAATTAGTGAGTGGGGATGCTTGGGACTTTGAGCTAGCTGCACCAGTGAAACTACTTATACTACCCTACTTATTGCTACCTATTACAGCGAAAATCGTTGCATCGCGACTTCTTCATTTCAAAGTTTGTTTTGATTTTTGTTCTTTCCTTCAATCTAACGGGCAGAGTTTATCAAAACTTCTTCAGTCATTCGCTGATTTGCAGCAAGCTCCGCCCCCAATTAGTCAAAGAAAAAACTAAATCCTAATGATTTCTTTTGAACATTGAAGTCGCGATGCAACGATTTCTGCTGTAAAGAATTACTTCAAATGTCAAAAGAGCAAATTCCTTACCAGGCTGCACAGTTTCAACCATATCCCACTCCATTTGTGCCTGTTCAAGGGTTGTGGGAGGGGAAGGGAGCTTCCTTATTCCTGGTGGAATACTGGATTTCTTAGTCTTGTAAGACCTMCCATGGTGCTTTTGTGGMTCTCTTTCATTGTAAATCTTCTCCGYTTGCTTGCCTTCGCTAACTTGTGATGAAGAAATTTCATATGAACTTGAATTTGATAAAGATCTAAATAGGAATAAGTAAAATGAACATTTAATTATAATAATGAGCATGTATTACTGGACTGTGCTTTGCAGATCAAAYAGAAAATTAAAACATATAATTAATGAAAATACAGTGGTTGCATGATGAAAAGACAAATATTAAACACCAATATTATACACTGCTCAGTATATACAGCTTATATGTTGTCCTATAAATAAGACATGTTTTCATATGATATCAGCCTCGCTACACAGCTGCAACTCTTCATTTTGCCCTTTTTGGATGCCTCTGGTATCCTCTTGTCTAAGCAGGGGCCATTTTTCTACCTGATCACAATATCTATCCAAAGTCAAATTGTGRAAAACAGAAAGCCCAAGAGTAGAAAGAAGAGCTGAAAGGAATAGAGATGCCTGCGGAGGAGGCTGATGTGATATGTTGTTTGGTGTTTRACGGCCCTAAACGTGAAGCTGCTGACGAGGTTTTACTCTAACAAAACCAAATTGTACGTTATTAAGATTATTATACAATTATTATTTATAAAAACCTATCACCCCACAAAATCCACTACCTCCCCAAGATGATCATCAACGAAACTAATAAGATTATAACTATTTCACCCAACCTGTCATCTTATTAGGTGAAACTTTTGAACATTTTGGTAACTTAAAATCGCAGAGAAAATGCCGTGCGATTAGAGCTTGAATTCGAACAGTTTGGCACTAGGCATTTACAGGTTTCTACTGGCGACCAATATGGCAGCATTAGGTCGATGAATCGAACCTTGCTGTAAATAACATGCAGAACTTTACCACGAGTTTGTCTTTAACTTGGATAAGATTACTTTTAAGTACGAATTGATAAAATTTAAAAACAAATAGCAAAGAAATTATCTTACTCTGCGCTAGATGGATGGCTGGCTGACTTGTTTTGATTGTTCGTTCGATCGGTGCTTGTCGGTAAGGTATCGTGATCGAACGATACATCGAATTCTTGATCAAAACCATTTTGATCTATTCGAGAGGTTGTCAAATTTCTGAAAGCACGTTCTGCTTCTTTATCTAGTTCTTTGTCGTCTTTGCTCATTATTCTTTCACTCTCTTGACTTCAGGCTTCATTCTGGCGGGCGCGTCAAAGAACATTTATTGTTTACACAGCCAGCCCAACGGAATTTTTCAAATTGTACTTTTTATTGATCTCATTCAATTTATCCTTTATTTCTGCGGTTTGATAAAGTACTAATCAACCGACTGGATTAGCGAATGACGGATAAAATAAAAAAATACGGATCCAAAAATACAATATCATGTTGTAAAAATTATCAAAATTATCAATTATTTTGAAAAAAAGTGGGCAGAAATTATTTTGAAAAAAAGTGGGCAGAGAAGTAAAGACTTGTAGGCGATTGAAAAAAATTATATGAAAGTTACCACAGGAAACCCAAATAATGGTTCATGGGATACCTGTGTTTTTTGAATCTAAGATGGCGGCAGTAAGGCGATTGTTGGACATTTTGCCTCAGACTGTATTGAATATGGACGATAAAAGTAGTACGAGACCGAGAAATAAAGCTGCAAAGGATTCCATCTCCACTTCTATCGTATATACAGTTATATTTTTGATAAGTAATATTGCGCTGAGAGTGGCTACTGCCTGGTATGTCAGGAAAACAAAGCTACATCTATTCTTTGCTTGGATGGAGTCGTGTTTTATACTAATTTTGTTGTGGAAACATCGTCGGTCTTTCAGGTATGTTATATTGAATTCACTTTTATTGCTATCTGTTGTCGAAAAAGCGGTGTTCGGGACTTTCGACCTCTAGACATGCAAACTCAATTAAAATAACTTAAGCTTTTAGACGTAAGCTTAAGTCTTACTTTGCAGTTTCCAAAGTCATCTTGAAGAAGTTACCTCTGCCTTTTTCATGAAAACGAGATGTCCCGTGAGCATGCAATGGTAGAAACCTTYTTTCACACCTGCAGACAATTTATTTTCAACCATTCTTAGTCTTGAATGATGTAAAGCTACATGTAAGCTTATATCGATACAACTATTGAATAGCCTGTCACTCAAGCACTCTACCTGTATATATGGCCACAGCTACAGCTTAGGTCAGATACACAGCAAGACTGATATATACATAGCCGGTGTAACCATGGTCATGTAGCCAGCTACAGGTGTTGTGGTGTTTGCAGAGCTACTACTGATTTGCAAAAAGCTTGTCGCAGCAAATGCAAGTATAAATTAATTAGACGTAAAATAAAATATAAATGCATTGACAATCTAAACTAAATCAATTAACATATTACATTCCAATCATAGTTTCGATCAAACAATRGTTACAATAATCGCATGCAAGGCATGAAACATTAACAAACATATAAAAGTGATTTAAAGGAACTTATTGTAGATAATACTGAAACATGGAAAATGAAATACTAACGCTATAAAATTGACTAAGGTGTGGTTAAAACGTTATAAAATGAAGTAGATTTAAATGGACAAAATGAGTAATAGCCGTATTATGYAAGGYTAARCRTTAAAGATGATAAAAATACTAYAAAAATGTATAAAAAATGCCTATAAAACCCATTTATGGGGTGTGACCATGTGCGAAGTAATGCACTAAGAACCTATGGGGAATACACGTTACATGTTTACAAGAAAAAATAAGAAGAGTACTTACATATCTGTGCCTGCTTGCCACTAACTCCAATACACCAGTGCACACTATATATTTAACATACATGTATATGAAGAACTAATAAAATACGCGTTATACCAGACTACAATACTCTAAGACTAACTGTGGCTACGGAAAAGACGCTAATTAAGAAATATAAAACGACGCGCATGTCTCTGTCCTCTGATATAAACACTGTGGGAGTTCAAAAAACGCGAGAGAAGCAAGCTTAGGAACACGAGAGAAGCAAGCTTAGGAACACGAGGGTAGCGAGTGAAAAGAAGGTATCCTGTATGTATCACTTGTTCAAAACACAGCTATCTTGCAAGATGATGGAAACTGCAAAGAAGGCCATTGCTAAATGTTATAGGATGTAAAATGTTATACATGTAACTATGATGAATTAATGATGGTTGTTTGTTGTTTAGCTTTAAGGTCTGTCCTGGTGTGTATTTCTACATTGTGTTTGTTATCATAAGTGAGACATGTTGTAATAAGGTAACTGCTAATGGTGCTGGATCAGAGGTTATCCAGGTGAGTTTATTCACTACCAGTATATTGAGTGTTAAAGTGCACATGACACCTTTTATAAAAACACTTTTATCCAAAAGTTTACATGCTGCCAAGTACTTCTGTGAAGAAAGAAATAGATTTTTAATTTTATTTTCGGAGTTATAGACATTTGAAAATTGAAAATGAGCAGTAATCAACTTGGTTTCCCACATCCAAGCGCCACTATGTTTTAGTGTACTGTGACTCTGCAAATAAGTAATTTTAACTCGAGACCTAGTGAAGTTCTATGATGAGAGTCTAAAACTGAGAATTTATCTAGTGTTGGGCACACATCGTGTCTGTAAATCAGTTACAACACTGATGTTTTATGCATGAGTGTTATAACTAACTGAACCGGTTACGTTATAAAACTCATGTTTAATTAATCAGTTTTTATAACTTGAGTTATAGATCCTGTCATGTGACCCATAGTCGAATGGTCATTGGAAGAATGTCTAATGAATAATTCATGAGTTTTAGAAGATACAATACAATACAATAAAGATTTATTCCAGATGCAAATCAACAATACAAATACACATATAAAAGCAGTAKAAAGCGAGATAMAAAACGAAAAATATAACGAAATAGGCATCTAGAAAGGAAGTTAAGAGGTTAGCCCTATGTGAAAACTCCCCTGAAAAACGACAGACATATAAACAAGAAAGCTAAATATATATATATACGTTTAAAGATAAGAGAAGAATAAGATGGTCAAAAAAAGAAGACTATATGAGGCTAAGATGATTTGATAATTTGGATTTAAAAAGAGTGAGACTGCCTGCTTGGACTACGTAATTAGGGAGGTTATTCCATAATTTGACAATATTCATGAAAAAAGAGTATTTGAACGGATTTACTTTGGCTGCTTTAAGGTATAAGATGATTAGATCTTGTTATTTTACATTTGGTATATTCAAAGAAGTCCTCAAAYYTGAGGTSACTTAAGTTAAAAACAATTTTGTAACATTCTACTAGGGATAAGTAATTTCTTCTTGTTGAGAGACTTGGCCAGCCTAGTAATTTGCATCTGTCTTCATAYGACAWGTMCMCCCTTTTCTGTCGAAGAGCAAGTCTAGACGCTCTATGCTGGACTTTCTCCAGGGTGTGAATGTCTTTTGCGAGGTATGGGTTCCAGACCGGTGCCGCATATTCAAGAATTGGTCGTACCAGAGAGATGTATAGCATAGAAAAAATATCCTTGTTGGCCGTACCAAGGGAGCGTTTGATAACACCTAGGACTTTGTTGGCTTTACCGACTGTAATTGTGATATGCGTTCCCCAAGAAAGGTCCCGGCAAACAGTAATACCCAGGTCTTTAAAGCTTGCAGTGTCTCTGAGTTGAGTGGATCCGAGTGTGTATTTAGTTGACAACTTATCTTTATTGTGGGTAATTCTCATATTATCATATTTATCTGCATTGAATCTAAGTTGCCATGTTTCTGCCCAGAGATTTAGGCGGTTTAAGTCTGACTGCAGTGCTGGTACATCGACCCCGGCTGAATAATACTTATGTACATCTTGGTATCATCGGCGTAGAGTTTAAATGACAGATGAGATATTATCGGAAATATTGTTAATGTAAACTAAAAACAAAATGGGCCAAGGATTGTACCCTGGGGCGTCCCAGACATGACAGGAGACCACTCTGAAAAGGTGCCCCGGACATTGACTCGTTGTTTGCGACCGGTGATAAAATGTCTAAACCAATCCAAGAGGTGACCATCAATTCCGTTTGCATACAGTTTTAAAAGCAGTCTTTCGTGGGCGACGCTGTCGAAGGCTTTAGCTAGATCTAGAAACAGAATATCAGTTTGGACGCTGCGTTCCCTGGCTTTAGCCCAGTCATGAAACATACTCAAGAGTTGTGCGACAGTCGATCTGCCTTCAAGAAATCCAAATTAGTTTTCGCTGAACAGGTTGTTACGGACAATTTTTTCACCAATTTTACATACAATGCTGGTGAGGGAGATTGGGCGATAGTTTTCTCTGTAGTGCTTGGATCCCTTCTTAAAGATGGGTGTTTCATTAGCCACTTTCCATCCAGTAGGTAGAGTCCCAGTGAGAAACGACATATTGAGTATAGCAGGGGGAGCGAGTTCTGAAGCACAGGTCTTTAAAATCATTTTTGGGATACCATCAGGCCCAGGGGATTTATTTTCATTAAGAGCATTGAGGAGTTTTAACACTTCAGATGTATGACAGTTAATGTCTTTCAATTTGGAGGTGGTTGAACAATGGAGCAGTGGAAAATTATCATAATCTTCTACTGTAAACACTGACGAGAAATATGAGTTCATACTGCTAGCAATACTGTAGTCGTCGCTTAGAACAGAGTTTCTGACATTCATTGTAACAAGATTATTTGTTCCTCTGCGCTTGGATTTAACATAGTTCCAGAATGGCTTTGGATTTTCGTTTTCTTTCAGTTCATGCGATAACTTGTTTACATACTCCCATCTGGCAATATTGCATTCGCGTTTGATTATATTGTTTAGCTGACGATATTTCAACCAGACTCGATCGTCTTGGCTTTTTTGGGCTTTCTTGTATAGGGTCTTTTTCTTTTTTCACAGGCGTAATAATTCTGATGTTATCCAGGGAGATTTCTTTTGGGGGATAAACTCCTCTACGGCGCTCATCAATAGATCTTTCCATGAATTCCAGACCTCATCAATGTTGTTTGTAAGAAAAGCACAATGCCAAGTGATGTACGAGAGGATACATTTTAATTCCTTCCAATCTGTATTTTTGAAACTGAACACAGACTTTTTTGACTTTAACTGTATGTAGGGTTGGCCGGTGACATTGAAGGTGATTATATTGTGGTCAGAAAATGCTTCTCCAACAACAACGTTCTTTACAATGTCAGGCGAAGACGTGAGGACCAAATCTAGTATATTTTTCTTCCTTGTTGGTTTACGCGTAAGCTGGGTTAAGAAATTATCTTGGATGATGTCCACTATGATATTGTAGTCTTCGGATGCGCATAGGGCGTGACCGGTTGTCCAGTCAAATTGAGGCGCATTAAAGTCGCCCAGAAGAACAAGCTCTGAGAAGGAGAGATTTTGTAGTACTACTAATTGCAGGTCAATTAAAGGCTGAGTGTCGTGTTCATGTGATCTGTAGAACACCCCGAATGTAGCCGTCCGCTGATTTTTAAATATTACATTAATTTATAAACAGTAGTTCAGAGTCACACTGAGGAATATTGCAAGGATAAGCTTTAATAGGTTCTGGAACAGCAATTAACACACCTCCACCAAGATGGCCATTTATCTCGCGATCTCATCTAAATAATGTATAATTTTCGGGAAGAAGCTCTGTATCGAATACAGTATTATCTAGATGCGTTTCAGTGAGGATGATGATATCGTAAGCAGTCATTCCGATTTCCAAGGCGATCGACGTTATTTTGTTGACAATGCTTCTTGCATTAGCATAAAAGACCGATAACTCAGTATTCTTGCGTTGCCTAGGTGTAGAGTTTGTAGTATTTCTTCGATTTGTTTGAGGGCCGGGGTTCAAGTAAGTAAGTCACTGAGGGTGGTCACTGCCAGAGATTTGTTTACGTCCTCAGTGGTTCTTTTACGTCCACCTTATAACAGGGTTAGAGTGAAAGCAGACGGGACCTCCGGCTTTACGTCCTTATCCGAGAAGACGAGGCAGTGAAAGAGTAAAGTATCTTGCCCAAGGACACAACGTGATCGTCCGGCCTGGGAATTGAACCCGGGCCTTTCAGACCTGAGTCCGGTCCCCTAACCACTAGACCATCACACCTCTTACAGATGTACTTAGCAGCATTTTCTCTTTTGGCTGAGAATGAATTTCTATAAATGGTGTCATGTGTACTTTAAGTCCAAGACTTGTCAAGGCTATCTAAATTTGAGCATGATATTTGTCCTGGAAACCTCACATTTCTATGACCAATAAAGTCCTTGTAATGTAACTGTGCCTTTGCAATGAAGCTAGATGACCAGTGAGCATGCAATGATGGAAATCTTTGTTCACACCCATAGACAATTATTGACAGGTGTCTATCACTGTACGCTCACTGGTTGTCTTGTTTCAATGCTAGTTACATTTAAAGAATGGGGCATGGAACCATGAAGAAGTTAAAGTCTCAACCTTTTGAACCCAGAAAAATTCAAATATCAGMTTTCTATCTGGTATCAGGAGGAGTTACTCAAATATCATCTATCTATACATCTCAGAAAAGTCTATTGGTTTATTAACTGTATTATTGACTTAACCGTTATGCGAACACAACACCAAAGCAAACCTCAATGTTGGTGTTGAACCCTGACCACATCGCTGGTCCATGACCTACCTTAGACAAATTGTGGTGTGGGTTATTTAACCTATCTCCATTGGTAATGTGAATTATAGAAAGACATGACATTTGACTTTATGTAAGATAATGATTCATGTAAAAGTGAATAATGTGTAATGCCTATTATTATTTTTATACTCCCTGAGCTCTATAGCTGAGATTATAATAAAATGAAATATACTTGGAATCTTATAAATGATAAATAGTGACAAAAAATGTAAATAATAACATTGATTATAGAAAAGCTATAATTGTATGTATGACAAAAAAGTATGAGCTGAGTCAAAAAAGCTAAGATCATATTAGAAACAATTTTGTCAGA